ATCAAATTTTATAAAGCACTAATGAAATAGTTGTCATGTGGGGAAACGTGTAGAGACATGGACTCAAGTGGTAGACCCACTTCATTTACCTTTTCCCTGATGGTTTTGTTATTCTTTCCTTTCTTCTATGACTTACTCAGGCCTCCCTTTTAGGCTCTTTGCTTCCACTTTCTCTTGGCTGAAATCTTTAGTCCCCTCCTACCAACTTCAGACCTATGCTACCACTGGTCTCTTCTTCGATTACACTTCGTTTTTCTGTAGGCTCCAAAACTCATCTTTTCTTCTTGTTCCTTCTCTTCCCTGTGTCACTGTTTTGTCAAATGAAAGTGGCACCCACAGTGAGTTGTTCAGCAATGGTACCTTCACATTGCCTTTCCAATGTTACTGCAGTTGTGGAAGTGATTCCTTTTTCATTCCAGTCGAGAAATCTGATATACAAACCATCCCAGTTGCTTCACAATCTATTGATTCAGCAGACATGCGACTACTGTCTGAAGCTGCAGTCTTGCAATTTGAATCAAGAAGGAGATGATTGATGAATTACTGATGAGTGTGCAGTAATCTGATCCCTCTGATCCATATTCCTATGTCTTTCCTCACAGCGCTCCTACTTGGTGACAGCATTTTAAACAGTGTTTTTTCTCAAATATGAGTGTGAATCCGTATACTGTACCCAAACCTGCTGTTAGTAGTTTTTGAAACTGAATTCATTTACAGCTCACACAAACTGAAATGCACTCTAAAGTCCTTCTTTTTTTCTAGTGTGTTCTTTATATTCACATAGTGCTGGCTACATTTAAAATGTTGATACATAAGTCCCTTTTAGATCCATGCAGAGGATTAAATGCATGAGTGGAACCATGCCTCATGTCATATTCCAGTGCTAAGCGCCTTCATCTCACCCTCTAGCTATCAAGACATTAAGTGCAACATATAGGTCTCCACTTACCTGGAATGCTGTGCCATTGTGATTCTCAGCCTCAGGGAGGTCAAAATATTTTCATTTTGGGTTTTGCATATGTATGGCTTATGCAAGATCAAGGGTGAAGCTAGGAGATACTGTACAATCTTACCACCTAGCCAGACATTTCTGAAAACAGCTTTATCTTGCTGTAACTGAAGAGATGATGATTCAGATCTCACACTGAACTGAGGTGTCATCAATCATCCAGTAGAGAACAAGTTTAGATTTACACAAGTTGTTTTTCTTTGACCGTGGTTTATTCAAAAAAGCCCAACTGGATATGTTCACTCAGTACACTAAGCCATAAATCATTATTTACAAACCCAAATGTCTGGATTGAAATAACATGCTAAGCTACTAAAGAGTTCACATTACAACTTAGCATGTCCTTGGAAACCCAAATCTTTTGTAGAAAGGGTCAGTTCCATGCACCACAAATACAGTGCAACCCCTGTATCCCTAATCTCCATGTGCACGACACCTATTTTGAGCTAATCTTGAAATGGCTGTGAGTAGACAACAGTTGCTTGCTCAGAGTTAGTGCTGGAATAGGAGGGTTGATTTCATGGCTGCATGATTAAGAAAAGGAAACTGAAAAATGTACAGGGTATTACAGTTCACCATCATTTTAAAAACTATAAAGCAGCATTTCCCAAACTGGTATCTCCAGGCATGTAGGAGTTCAAAGCCCATAATTCCTAGACAGCATAATTGAGGGTTCAGTTATGGGATGCCAAGTTAGGGATAAACCAAAAGTCCACCCTCAGGATCTCTTCTGAGGGCATCTTAACATTAGAACATTGTAGCAGTTCAAAAATCGCCTTGGATCCATGCAAGTATATAATGTTGGCTGGTTCTGAGAATATATATATATATTTAGACACACACACACACACACACACTGTGATGCCTTACCATCATAGCAACATGGGTGGGGGAATGCTGCTATTTTTCTTTTTTAACTATTTTTGCATAGAATAAATGTAAGGGGATTTTTGCAACTCTGTGAGTCAGGGTGGCTCGGGGGCAATAATCAAACGCCATTCCTTACACTCTGTTGGTTAGCTAGACAGTTAACTGAGTGGCTTAGACATGTTCACAGGTGAAGATGGTTCCAGGTTAGCTTCATACCATCTTCATGGTTCATGTAAGATTGGGAATGAGAAATAGAAAAACTATGGTGGGGAAGTGACCGTAAATAATTTTGCTTGAACACTTAAAACTGCATGTACTGTAATAATGCCAAGTCCATCTGGCTCACTATTCTATTGCCCATAGTGAATGGCCGGATGTTTCCAGGAAACTCACAAAAGGGCTACATGTTGATACTCATCTTCTTATTTGCTTCCATAATCTCATAATATGAAATATATGCCTTTGAACATAGACGTTTTGTGTCTGACTATATGGCTAATATCCCTAAACAGATGTCTAATCATGTGTGTTGTTTTAAGCCATCAAAGACCATAAGAATCAGACAAATTCAAACTTGCAGGAGTTATTTTGGTTTTTGATACCCTCATCTTACCAATCAAAGCCTGGTACAAAAGACATGTACTTAGCATTTATTTTTCAGTACCGTAACTGATCAGAAAACATAGCCCTTTCATTAAATGTCAACCTTTGATTACTCACTTTTTTTTTCTTATACCATTCTTCCTCCCAGAGGAATACTGAGGGGTGGGGATTTTAAATAAAATTAACACAATGAAACCAGCAATGCTTTATAATAACAAACATAAGTATTAAAAACAAGGTTTCTTTTAAAAAACAGAAAAATGAAATAAAGACCAGAAAGAGTCTGGTCATTGAACAGTTATCTCTTAAATGGGATTGTCTCAATCTTTCTGTATGTTTGGGGGTGAGGGCAGCAGAGCTGTTTTGTTGCTATGACTAAATGGATGTAAGAAATTGGAATTATAATTGTCATCACTCCCTTTATTGGCCTTGTTGGCTAGGGCATATAAGAGTTATTGACCAAAACATTTGGAGCCCACATTGCCAATGGTGATCTCGACTACTTCTGTGTTGCCTCAAACCAGTGAGACCTTCCTGATTATTATCTTCACAATGGAAGCAGTCTTTCAAATAAGACTCTTTGCAGTAAATGCTCATTCAAATATAGAAGGAGAGGTCAGATCCTCAGACCACTGTATAATTGACAAAGAATGAGTATCCTTCAAGTATTGTAGTATATCAATCTTTCTGTGACCGTGAAACCACACAATATTCATTTCCTTTGTCCATCTGTAAATTTCCAAACCATCTGTATATAATTTAAGAAAATTTAAGCATCTGCAAAAACCAATGAAATCTTTCAAAACAGAATATGTCAACCTCTGTCCCATAAGGATCCATTATAAAATATAACCACTTCATATAAACAGTGCTGTGTTTTAAGTGTCATGATGTCAACAATTAGCTAAACTCAACTATTTCTTCCTAAACAGGCCCGTGTCCGGTACATTCAAAATAGTCATTTTTGTTGGCTTCACCATAAGTTTAAATATAAATCTATGGAACTCTATTGGCTGATTGCCTCTTTCTGTCCCCCTCTGCACTATGATTCATAAGTTATGTATCTTTATGGCATTTTTCTATTTCAGACAAACCACTCCCCAAACTGATAAAATTTGCAACAGCTCCATAATGGCAAACACAAACTTTAAGCACAATTTAGAGTATGATTGAAAGACAGTATTGGGCAATCAACATCCAGCCAAGAGCAGCACCCACCAACTGGCTATTCAGATACTGCACAACATCCCCCAAGGCCTGTTGCTGTGTTCTGCCTGGTGCCTGGGAGAGAAGTGTAAAAACGGAGCTGAGTGAATTTCCCTGGGGAAAGCATCTGGGGGCCTCAGCATGGAAGGTCCTGCCGTATGTCTGGAAACAGAAATAATGACCCGACCAGGAAGGGGCGCTGTCCGCTCAAACGCCCACCCCAAGCGTTGTGCTTCATCGTTTAGGCTCAGCCCTGCGCCCATTTCCAGATGCCAGGACTCAACCCAGGAGCCGGGACGTGTCCACGAGCAAGTGAGAAGTGACGTGACTCCAGGACCGCTGAGCGGCTTCCCAAAGTCCCCCCGACAGGCAGAACCGTGCGGGGAAGCAGGCGGCGGATTTCCAATGCTGCCCGCGTTCTTTTCAGGCAGACTCGAGACTGTTGTTGTTCAAGCAGTAAAGAAAGATCGTAAAGAGCTTTAAAGAGCTGCCTGCCGGTCTGTGGCAAATCCACATTTCCCTCCTGCCGATTCGGAAGACACCTGCCGGCCGACATGAGCGGGCTTCCAGTATGGCAGCCCAGCACGGCGCAGCCCGTGGGTTTAGCGGGACAGAGGGCGGGACGACCGGGGCGAGGGAGCGGAACACTCGCGGTTTGCAGCGTCGTCCCGAACACCCGAGGATATTAGGAACGCCAAACCCAAAAGCAGCAGGGAACAGCGGCCACGATTTTGAGGTGGGCTTTTCCTCTAAGCGCTTTCAGAGGATGCAGACATTGTAATATAATATAATATAATATAATATAATATAATATAATATAATATAATATAATATAATATAATATAATATAATATAATACGATACGATCTCGGGCACTTCCTGCAGTGATTTTTCTTCGTCCGTCAAACTCTCTACTTTGAGGCAAGAATGCAAACACAAACACAAACTATGGGTAGGCCAGTGAGATCGGCCGAAAGTCGCTTCGTAACGCAGCAAGCAAAATGCCGCCGTGGTGAGCGATCGCTTTAAATCTTTCCCGGTGTCTGCCTCGCCCTCGGAACGCGAGGTATTTTTTTCTCTCCTTTTTTATGAATGAAAAGACTTCTCAACAAAAATATGTAAATTAAGGCCGACTTGATTGGCTATATTTCCCGGATGAAAAAAAAAGTTAGGCCGTTCATTGTTGCCGAGAGGCGGGCTTAGGATTGCTCTGGGAGGTGTTCTGACATACGAGTGCCATTGGGTGCCTGGTAGGGTAAACAAGCTGTGATTGACAGGCTGTGGCAGGGTTGCGGGCCAATGGGGGGCCAGGGCGAGGCGGGCTCTGGAGGCCGCTCGGGGGCTTGGACAGCAGCCCGAAGACGACACAGGGCTTCTAGCGACTGCACAGCGGCAGCGCGATAGTTCTAACGGCAGGTGAGGAGGGGCAACGTTCGTTTAGCCTCACGGTTCGGGGCTCAGAATCTGGGCCGAGGATGCTAAGCTGTGGGGGTCCGTGGACTAATGAGATCGGGTGGGCGGCAGGAGGTTTTCGGGGGACAGGTGCTTGGGTCTGCAAGATGCTGAGGATTGCCGGATATGCAGAGAATACCGTTGCGTCTTAATAAAGTCCACTGGAGTCTGCTGTGATAGGGCTGGATCTCGGGATGGAATGGGATCAAGGGTTGCAAGAGTGCTTGGAAGAGACAGTATGGCGAAGAATTGCGAGGGAAAACTGTACAGCCGCGCCGCCACTGGCTGCAGCAGGCACTGGCTCCGCTGGGAGGATTGGTGTTTTTTTTCCTTTTTTTTTTTTTTTTGTGAATGTGGGCGATTTTATGAATGGAGCTGGTTTTGTGTGAATGGAGCTGGTTTTGTGTGAATGGAGCCAGGAGTGCGGGGGCGGGGGCTGAATCTTTTCGCGGCGTTCTGCACGGGGAAGGGGGTGGTATATCTGAAGGCGTTTAATGAATGGAGTGTGTCCCT